ACCCATTAAGTGACTTGTAGGCTGGACCTCGGCTCCTTCCCAATCTCTTGGGAAGCTCATTCAACAAAATGACCGCTACCTCATACTCATTTTTCCTAAATATCTGTGTGAAGAGCATTTGTCAACAAATTGTTGTCTGGAGCATAACTGGATTGCTTGACAATGCAAAAGGAATGAGGAAGAGACAAAGAATGCCGCCGAACAAATGAAAATGATCGAAGGATCTAGGAGGAGAATGAGACACAAAAAATAATGGGGAGGAAAGGAATGTTGTCACATATTCAGCGGCAAACACGGTCAAGATAGAAGGAATTATTATAATTATTATCGCTAATCCTCTTTAAAATAAAAGAATCAATGCTGCAAATTATACATATAAATACAAAATGATATCCATGCGAATTGTACTAGACACCATATCATATCTTTGTGTTAATTGATGACATTTATATTAAAAAAAAAACAGTATGCACTCAATTCACTATGGCCACAAAACAGCTGCTGAGACAAGAGAAAGTGATATACTCATAGAAGAAATGGGACATTGCATTGTCATCATTGCTTAGAGATTTGCTTCAAACCAAACTACATCGACTTAGGCCCTGCAATATATCTATCGCTGGGCAAGGGTCATAATTCCATGAAGATGGTTTTATATTGTCATGTATATTCAGTTTATATAATACATGTCAATGTCTAATGAGGTTCTACATCAAAATTCTTCGCTTCTCCAATGCTTCATCAAGAAATCGGCACCAAGTGAGTTACTCCAATAAAATTTATTGTCAAATTATGGTCACTTCTCCTTAAAAAGATATTGCAAATCCCCATCCTCCTCATTTTCATCACCTACCCCATTGACAAATTTTATAACCTAACCTTCATAAAATAACTATCACTCGGTCCTAAAACTATCATTCAGTCCGCACCCCTCACTATTGTTTTTAAAAAAATAGAAATATTTTTTTGCCAAGCCCATGCGTAAAGCATCGCCCAAAATGTCCCTCCTCCATATTGGATTCCGTAAAATCTACGACATCAACACAAAAAAAAAGGTAAAAATAAAATAAAATAAACTTTAGAACCAATTTATTCGATAATTTGATACATACCAACAACTTCATCTCTCAAATAAAACATCAAGATTCAATTTCTAACGAAAAAAATAAAAATAAAAATAAAATTTAAAACAAAGAAGAGAATAAATCAGAGAGGGAGGGCTGACTCTTTCGTGACAGCGAGAACATTGTCGACGAATCCCTGCAGCATAATCGGATCGATCGAAAATCTCCCAGCGGAAAAAAACAACGATAGAAACGCGAGTTTGAAAATGGGGAGGAAAAAATGGGATCTTGGGAATTTTTTGGAGTCAAAAATGGCAAAGAAGGGGCTCAGTTATTGTTATTGTCCATTGGATTTGGATCCAAGGAACAGCAAATGATGATGCTTCGCTTCGAGCGCACGCGGACACAACGTGCGGTCAGAGGGAAGGGCGGTTGCGTGCGCCACGTCGGAGGCCCAGGCGAGCATTTTTCCTGTAAAGTCCCTCGACTATTATTATATTGACTAATTATGGACGGATGGATAAAGAGGATTGCGGATAATGTTAACTGGCACCGAAAGTTATGTGACTACCTTTTGACTACGGATCGTGTCTCATTCTTAGCCGACGATTGTTAGATGGATGCAATCAACGGTTATAGTCGGTCGTCTTTCTATTGCTTCTTGAGAAGTCCAGCTTTGATTAGAACTGTCCGGACGCAGATTGAAGTGTTTGGTGGTCTTTAAAATAATGGGTTTTTATTTCTAAGCTTATTTTTTACTCAATTTTACATATAAACTCAATCATTATTACTTGTATTTTAATAAGTCTAATTCTTTTTTTTATTTGTCTTTAAACTCAATTTTTAAAATACAATACTTAAATCATTTGTATTTAGACAGAAACAAGGTAAAAATTCCAAAATACCCCTTTCATTAGCCCCATATAAACCCAATTCTCTCTTCTCATTTCCCCCTTTTCAACTCTCAACCCTAATTGAAAAACCGAAAATCCCCTTCTCGTGACCGTCGTCGTCGCCGTCGCCCGCCGGCTATCACAGTCGTCGTTGTCGTCGCCCGTCGCCCGTCTCAGCTCTCGTGTTGGGAACTTTACTTGGATTCTATCGTCTTGTTTCTTTTGACTCCGTCGTTGTCGCTCGTCGCTCGTCGCCCACCGCCGTCCCAGTCGCCATTGTCGTTGACCTCGACGTTACATGTCACCTACCGCCGTCCCAGTTGCCGTTGTCGTCCCAATCCGTGGAGGTATACTCTTCATTCACACTTTCCTTTAGTTTTTTTGTCAAGTAAAGCAGTGAAAAACACTCACATGCGAAAATGTTCTTTAATGTGAAAATATTTTCTTGTTTGCATTTCCTAGTGAAGATGGTTTTTTGCCTAAACTCATAAACACTTGCAAGCAGTTGTTTGCGTTGAAATAATTGAAATCTTGCTGAAAATGTTCTTTCGAAAAAAATTTCCTGCTCTAAGATAGAAATTGTTTCATGAATTGGTGGAAATGAATTTGACTTTTATGGGGTATGCTCTTATTGGACAGTAAGTGAGCATCTGTGTTTGGTTGACATTTGTAGGACATTGAATTTTTATCTTATTTTGTATCTTTTGCGTAACTACTAGAGACGGAGCAACTTGTTTCTCTGTGTAAATTCTGCAATCATCTACGTGAACTTCATTTGACTTTAATTAAATACTTGAAAAAGCCTTCTTGCAGTAATCTTTTTAAACACTTGCTTCTGTTTCTTCAAACAAGAGCATGTAATCGTCGATCGCTTCTTTTCTGTTTTACCCCCAATAATCCTGGTTGCAAGAACGTGCTTTATCTATAGTATGTATTGCTCTTTCACGTTGTTCCATACCACAAGCTTAAATATATTAAGTCTAAAATTCTTGAAATTTTATGGAATTATTTATTTCATTCCTAAATTGGAGTTTATGGAATTAGGTAGTGAGAGTTTTTCACTTATTACATCTCTACTGAACTGACTTTTAAAAAATAAAAGGTTGGCAATTTCAGTGTTCGCAGTTTGTTTTAATAAAGAAAAAATGTATAATATTGATAGACAACTAAAGTTGGCTTATGTTTTACTTTAGTTGTAGAAAATCGTACATATTTTGTGAAGACTGTTAAAGTAAGAGAGAGAGAGAGAATCTTGGGTAAATTTCCCTTGAATTGAATATTGAGTGTGCACATATATTTATACAAGTAGAGGAGTGTGAGGTTTGTTCTCCCAAGCAATGTGGGACTAAAACCCACTACAATACACTATTATCAACAGCCCCCTTCAAACTCATGTTGGATCAAACAAAGTGAGTTTGCGTACAAGAAACTGGAACCGATGAACAGGTAAGGCCTTTGTGAAGAAATCTGCAAGCTCGTCAGCGGATGAAACATGAGGAAGTAGAATTGTCTTGTCCTTGATAACTTGCTGACGGACAAAATGAGCGTCGATCTCAATATGTTTGGTCCTTTCATGAAATACTGGATTATTAGCAATCTGGATGGCACTCTTATTATCACAGTAGAGAGGAGTAGGAGTCGTAACAGAAATACCGAAATCACTGAGAAGGCGACGAAGATGAATAATCTCTTTAGCTGTTGTGGACATTGCACGATACTCTGCCTCAGTACTGGAAAGAGCAATAACATCTTGTTTCTTACTTCGCCAGGAAATAAGGGAATCACCAAGAAATATACAATAACCTGTGGTAGACTTTCTGGTAGTTGGATCACCAGCCCAATCAGCATCAGAATATGCACAAAGCTCTAACTTAGATGTAGCAGGAAACAAAAGTGAGCGAGTGCTAGTACCCCGGAGGTACCGAAGAATCCGTAATAAGACAGCATAGTGTACAGAACGTGGGGCACTAACAAATTGACTGACAATACCAACAGCATGAGAGATATCTGGTCGAGAGATGCACAAATAGACCAACTGACCAACAAGATGTCGATATCGGGTAGGATCAGATAGAGGCTCACCGTCAGTAGAGCAAAGTTTGACATTCTGCTGGAGTGGAGTATCGACAGTTGTATTATCAGTTAACTCAGCTTGATTTAGAATATCTGAGAGATACTTCTGTTGAGACAGTAATACACCCCGCGGGCCTTGAGAAATTTCTAGACCAAGGAAATACCGAAGAGATCCAAGATCCTTCATGTGGAACTGTTGTTGCAACTGAGATTTTGCGTATTGTATACCTGTCATATCATCACCTGTAATGATCATATCATCTACATAGATGAGTAATAAAACCCTGCCACGCGATGTAGTGCGAACAAACAGAGAAGCATCTTGATGACTTTCTATAAAGCCCGCTTTGAGCACAACATCGCGAAAACACTCAAACCAAGCGCGGGGTGCCTGTTTGAGACCATAAACAGCACGACGAAGGAGACATACATGTCCCGGAGGAATATTTGACCCTGGAGGCGGTTGCATATATACGGTCTCTGATAAAGAGCCATGAAGAAAAGCATTTTTGACATCCATCTGGTATAAGGGCCAACGATGAGCAGCAGCGACCGCAAGGAGAGTACGCACAGTGGGCATCTGAGCAACAGGAGCAAAGGTCTCCTCATAATCAATACCTTGTTGCTGAGTAAAACCTCTAGCCACTAAACGAGCTTTTCGACGTTCAATGGTGCCATCAGGACGAAACTTGACCTTATAAACCCATTTACTGCCAACAAGAGAGATCCCAGGAGGACAGGGAACAATATCCCAGGTATGAGTTTGCTGAAATGCTTGAAATTCCTCAGCCATAGCTTGTCGCCACTCTGGAATTTGAACTGCCTCTTGGAAGGACTTTGGCTCAACAATAGTATGAATGGCAGCAAGAAAGTTATGAAAGATAGGTGAATAAGAAGTAACAGAAGCATACCGGGCAGGCATGACATGTGGGCGTTTGCCTCGACGAAGAGCAAGAGGAACCTCAGGCGGGGGAGATGCTGGCGCAGGTGCATGAAGATCAACAGTATTTTCTGGAGTGAGAGTTGTGTCCACAGGATATGGATTAGATGGTGTAAGAGAAGACTCAGGTGAGGAAGAGTCAACAGAAGGAGAGGGAGAGATGTCAGGGAGATCTCGAAAGGAAAATTGAGGTGAAGAAGTGGGTGATGCAGTGGACGGGGAAGCATGATCGGTAGAGTGGAGGAAATTAAAGTCATCAGAAGTAGAATAATATGGAGAATCCTCTTCGAACTGAACATGACGAGATATATGAACTCGACGAGTTGCGGGATCATAACAACGATAACCTCGATGTTCTGAACTAATTCCTAAATAAACACAAGAAACTGCTCTGGGAGACAATTTATCACGTTCGTGAGATGGCAGAAAAACAAAACATCGACAACCAAAAACGCGAACTAGATCATAACGGGGAGGATGAGTATAAACACGACTATAAGGAGTAGCACCGGAAAGAGAGCTAGATGGAGTGATATTAATGGCATGAGTCGCGGTGAGAATAGCCTCAGCCCAGAAACGACGAGGAACAGAGTAAGAAATGAGCATTGATCGGGCAGTATCGAGGATATGACGATGTTTGCGTTCAGCAACACCATTTTGCTCATGAGTGTAGGGACATGACTGTTGAAAGATAGTCCCATGAGAGGACATGATAGAGCGCATGGCAGAGGATAGGTACTCTTTGGCACAATCAGAACGAAAAACTTTAATACGAGATTGCCATTGAGTGAAAATCATAGCAGTGAAGGCTTGATAAGCAGTAAGTACGTCAGAGCGATTCTTAAGTAGGTAAACCCATGTAAAACGAGAGAAATCGTCGATAAAACTAACATAATATAAGTAGCCAGATGAAGAAGGCAAAGGAGCTGGCCCCCAAATATCAGAATGTACTAAATCAAATAAGGAAGTGGATACAGATGTACTCATTTTAAATGGTAAAGCAGTGAATTTAGCCAATTTGCAACCAGCACATGACTCAATACTAGAACTAGATGATACAGGACCAAGTACTCCAGACTGAATAAGACTCTCCAGCCTTTTATTACACACATGACCAAGTCGTCTATGCCATAAATTGGCAGGAAGCGAGGTAGAGGGTTTTGACGAACAAAGAGAAGCAACAAGAGAACGTGGACGTATGGACTCTGGAAGGTGAAGATATTCCAGAAAATACAGTTTGTGCCTCCTACGACCCGCCCCAACCGTCTTGCCCGTCTGTGGATCCTGCACAATACAAGTATCAGAAGAAAATGAGACAAACAGGCCCGCCATGCATAAAGAGCTAATAGAAATTAAATTCAAGCACAATTGTGGAGCCACATAGACGGGACCAAGTGTTAGACGACCAGATGGATCATTTTGTGGGGTA